GCGCTGAGGCGCCGCAGGAGCCGCCACGTCCCCGCCGCCTCAGCGCCCGGCCCGGGACACAGGGCAAGTGTCAGCCAAGGCAGATCCCAGGGGTGAGAGCCCAGCCGGAATCTTCACTGGAATTTCCATGGCGAAGCCTGGGATCCGAGGTGCCCAGGTGACGCCTCTGCAGCGTGCTGGTGCAGCTCCCTGCGCTTTGCTGGAACAGGTCCTGTGAAGCTGAGAGTGGACCGCTGGAGCCGAATTCATCACGCTGAAAACCTGGCTGAACCATGCCAGTGGGACCCAGCGCTTTGGGAACCGACAGAACAGTCCCTTGTACCTGGGCTCTGGCCCCTGAACGGCTTCTCCCCCCGCTCCGAGGCACCTGTTGCCGTAGCAATGCTGCTCAGAAGGGATGGGAAACCTGCCGGGGGGTGCTCAAGCTAGGCAAACTTTCACTCTGCTCTGCCCTGCACTAACCAGATGCAACAATGATTAATACTACGGCAAGAAAATAACCGGGATATAAAACATTCCTAAGGAAAAAAAATAACAAAAAAACAATATAAAAAAACCCCCGAAGAGACCAATTAGTTCATTCTGTTTGCCCCCCAGCAGTCAGAAAAACAACAGTGAAAAACAATTTGTCCTGTAGCACACTGTACTGTACTGTGTGCATCCAGATTCTCCTCCTACTTAGACTGGTATAAATCAAGACGCTAGTGGAGTTACACGGGTATAAAAGTGGCATTACCAGTTCCTGGGTCTCTTTAAATATTGCTGAACCCTACTGCTGATTCTTCTTTGTTTCCCTGTTAGAAATGATTGTTTAAAAGGCACAGGCATTTATCCATAGCACACTGTATCATGCAAAGGGGTTCTTTTATTGGTTCTGATCTTTCCTTTTACTTTTATTATTTCTTTGAAGAAAATGTGGGATTATTACCTCAATCTAGGCAGCTGGCCTGCTGAGGCTCCCTTTGCTACATCAGGGGCTTCTCTTTTTACTAATCCTCTCTTTATGGATAATCTTTCTCTACCTTCTAATGACTCTCAGCTAAGGAATGTATTTTGTTATTACTACCTGTTGTTAGGAAATTCATTTTATTTGGTGTGGGTGTTGCTAATTGTTTGCTAATGAAAACCTTACAACAGTCAATATGGTCAGGATTGTGTCGGTCTTCATGTCAATTAACCCTTTCTTCCTATCTGTTCTGAGTTAGATTTTCCTCATGCATTTTTCAGACTTTAAATATCAAGATTGATTTTATGATTTGAGGTCCAAGGCATAAGAATCTGTGCACTGATAGGTTGCATAGGGAACTTTTATTTCCCATGAGAGATTTTTAAAAGGCAGAAGTTGTCATTTTGTAATCTGCAAAATGTTTGTACATGCAAATGCAAGGATGTCTAAGGTGAATGGTGGAACAAAATGTGCAGGAAAATCTACGGTTTAAGACAAGGAATGGATATCATCCTGTTTTACATAAATGTGGATAATCTCAAGGCAGGGAAGATATTCTTAAAGACTCTTCATGTTCCTCTATCATATATGCTATTTAAATATATGTATCCCCTTTACACACAGAGAATGAAAATAAGTCCTGCTTATTATACAATTTACAGTTTAAAAAGATCAACAGCATTAGGAAGACAAAGAGAACAGCTGTGCAACATAACAAAAATACAAAGCTTGTTGGTTACCATTCCCTGTTTTCCCTTCATTTCATTCCCTCAGCCTGACCTTTTATCTCACTACATACCTTACAGCCACCTTATCAAGAGCAATCATGGATTCAGGAAGGTGATGCCCCAGCCCATACACTTCCAAAACCATAGGATCTCTGAATCTAAAGTGTATATCAAGACTGGTGCCTTTAGGAAGAAAGTGCTATGCAGGATGCATCTCCTTGTGCAGAGGTGCCAGAGAAGCACACACACACTTTGGGAGAAAGATGAACCTTCAGTGATATAAAGTGGAACCCACCAGTATCACTGTCCCTCTCTTCCCTAGGAAGGGAGAGGTGAGGTAACAAACAACTAACATGGGTCCAGATGCAAGCAAGGGGAAAGCAGCAGCTGAAGCCCTGACCCTTCGACCTGGAAAACCCAGGAGACTCTTTCTGATGAGAGATCCATAAATCTGACTCTTGACTCTGCTGAGGGTAATTGCAGCACATCTGAGACTACACATCATTCCACTCCAACAAGCCTTGGAGTGGCTTTTTTGAATTAATTTTTCCTCAAATGAGAATTGTTTTAAAAAACCTGATCCAGAATGCTCTGCTTTGTGTGCTGTATACTGCATTAGATATTGAAATGTGATGAAGAATTCAGCACTGTAAGTGACCAAAGGAAAACCAGGAATATTACTCTATTGTTCCAGGTAGCATCTGGGACAAGCAAGGAAGAAATACTGAAAAAAAGAGAGGGAGAGAAAAGGTCATATCACAAAGGTCTAGACAGCTTTTTTTTCCTTGCTTCAGTATTGTCACAGTTGCTGAATGTTAATGTATTTTAACTCTTTTTCACTAAGAGTCAAGACCTTTCTGAGTATCTCTGACAGTCAAGGCGTTGTGTTATATCACCAGGATGTTATTAAGCTGATCTTTCCTTAATAAAAATATAAATGTCTTTATTATTTTTTCCAGTCACCATTGCACTAGTTCTGCAGGGTGCCAACCATGCTACTGTGTGTGACTAAATGGCACCCAGCCAGTCTTAAGTAACTACATTATACATTTGTTCATTGATGCTCAAAGCAAAACCAGGTTGGCACTAACTTTTCAAACCTGGCTTCAGCAAAGACTCAATTCTTTGAGCAACTAATGAGCAGAAGGAGGAAAAAGAATTGTAGGAGGACTGGGGCTGATCAGGAATATATCTAAGCATCCCAGAGAGCAGAATGTCAGCTTGCTTAGGTATAGATCTGCTACCTGTCTGGGAAAGTGTGGGAGTGGAAAAAATCAGGTAACCTGGATAATAGAACAGAACTGAGCCACTGCTGTAGCAGCTTGGGTGATGCCCCTCATCCTTTCCTATACAGCTCATGCTTTTTGGCTCAGGTAGAGGCATAGCATGAACACCAGTCCAGGACCTGCTGAGGTGCCCTCTGCACTGACCTCAGGCTAAAGGCCATTCTCAGAAGCAGGACTGAAGAGTGACAGATTGGTGACAGACATGTAGCTTCAGCCCAGCTGGTGCTGAGGCTACATTGAGCTGCCCTGCCAGGCTCAGGCACTGCCAAGCTTCTTACCTTGGGCTTGGTGCCACACAGCTGCAGGTGACTACTGGCTTCAGCAGTAGCACTATGGCATTTGCACAGCAGTTTCAGACATAAGCTGATGGGTCTGGCTGGACCTAGGCTGGATTTTCCTACAGTTATCATAAGCATTTCTGCACCCATGAGTAAGCTATTGTCAAATAAAGGAATAAAAAGTGTAGGTCAGGCATGCACTAGTTAGCACGAATAAAAATCATTTGGAGTCAGAAGGGCTTTTAAAATCAGGGTAGAACTTTCTTTCATCCTTCTCACCATGGAAAGTATCTCTCTCACTTTTCTGCCATTTAGCTCTTCATTACTGGGGACAGTCTTCTCCTGCCTTTGGCTCAGCATCTCAGCATGGTTTTAGGGTAAGCTTTGAAACCAGACAGCAATCAGTACTGCTGGCATGCTCAGAGGCTAGACATCCTGTTTCAGTTGAACTGTTTCTAAGAGCAGAGGGCTTCAAAGGACTCTTGGGGTTTTTTCTTAAGCTTGGGCCTCTTTGCTCTGCTCAGCTGCAGCCAGAGCATGTCTGACAGACACCTGGAGCTACAAACATTCAGTGATGGGTAATCAGCTCATCTTTTTGATGCAGTGTTGTGGTACAAGGGAAAGGCAGCTGGGTGTAATGGCAGGGAGAAAATAGTAGTGTAGAGAGCCAGAGGCAAAAGTCCAGCTAAAGGTTTGAGGTTTGGTTCTGTCCAGCAAAATCTTTTGGATCTCAAGAGTTGCCAAAGAGAGTCCTGAACTTTGCCTTAATTTTTTTCTCCTGTTGGAACAATGTGGCAGAGGGTTCTCTATATTTTGGGATCTGTTGCTGCAGCCAGTATAGTGCTGTGTGCTCTAGAGGAACTATCCTGTTTCATGAAGGACTACATTTTTCCATGAGGTCATCTGGTTTCAATTTTGCTGAGTTGTCACTATTTACTTGTTGTCAAAGTCAGCCTTGTTTTGAAAACAAGTATCAGTGAAGCTTTGTTTTACTATGCAAGACTTTTAATATACTACAAATTTTGTTTCAGTGTGAGTACCCTGAATATCCAGTGCCCCCCAGAATGTATAAATAAAAATTTAAATTAAATTAAAAAAATAAATGCCAAAAAAGCCAAATTCATCCTGATGTCATCTCTGATTCTTTTTTTTTTTTCTCATTACAGGAGGGAAAAATGCATAATGAAGTAATTCTCAGATTCTGAAAGGCTAAATATAGAAGAAATCCTTATCAATATGTAGTTGCCTAGGCTAGGTTGCTGTTTCGTGTCTCTTTTGGTTTGCTTTGGAAGCATCAAATCCCCACTAGGGTTGGTGGAATTGATCTTCTATGACACTACATGCTTTTATTCCTGCCAACAGTGGATTGATATTTTTAGAGATCTAGTTAGTATGGTAGTACAAAGTCAGAGATCCAGCCTAAGAAGTAGGAGGTATGGTTTATGCTTTTGTTTTGCCTAATGAAAATCAGCCCTGACACTGCCTTGTCTATTAAGCCTGAAAACACTTTTTTGGGGAAAATCCTGCTGTACTGGGCATCTCTATGTCCCAAGGCTAGCTGAAACAAAAAGCACAGTTGTGGGAGCAATAATCAGCCT